GTGGCTTTGGTTCTACAAGTGGGCTATCGCTGTTTGTTGAGACTGTAACATTTCGAAGATCACACTCAAGTTGATCCCATCACCTTCGCCATCGTCGGGCTATCGACCAGGCTCCCCCGCGAATGCTGTTTTCAGGGTCGGTAGGCAGGTTTGTTTCGATAGCTACGTGTGAGTTAGCATCGATCGGATCAGCGACTGGAACTCCTGGGGTCAGCATGGGCACCTAGTTATTGGGTACCACATTGTTATTCTCGCCATGGTGGCCGAACTCAGCATCCACGTTCAAATGGGCAGATTGGGAGTTCGACATTTTTAGTTTTGACCTGAAACTAAAAGCTCAAAGAAAAAGTGTAACATAAAGTGTGTTATGGAAATTTGTATCAAATTGTCACTATTATCCTTAGCCTCATGGTGGGAGACAAACTGTTTGCCCTAAAAAACGGATAACAATTAAATTTGTATGTGATTTTAAGGATATGTGGGTTAATTCAATACAAACGATAAACTGCATTAGATTAAACAGATAAAGGACAAAATAAATTGTCAAACTAATTAAGAGGAGTGATCCCGGACTTAGTAACAGCTTAATAAAATGTCTGCCTTCGATCCCGGGCTCACGTTACTGATGATTTGATGAACAAAAGCAAGAACTTTGAATAATAGAGAAAATGAGAGTATATTGTCTTGATGTGTGTGTTACAATATGTCTAATGAATAATTAGACCCCCTTTATATAGTAGGAGAGTTTTACTCTAAGTACAATTTTATAAAAGGTAGAAATCTTTTGTTTAACTAGTCACCGGTTCTCTGCCGATACGTGCCGAGATTCACGCCGTGATATCCGGCTGGCCACGGATATCACGACCTTTTTTCGGTCGTGCTCGATCATCTGGTAATGCTCTCCGAGGCCTTTGGGATTCGAACCAGACCGGGGGTCATGGCCCCGATTCTCCTAAGGGCATGCGTTTTGCCCGGACCCCGACTCGAGGGGCTCCTTGCCTCGATTTCGGTTCCTTGCCGTCACGTCTCTCGCTCTGTTTACTTCATCGAAAATCGAGGCGTCCCATGGACTCGATTTTCTCCGTATACAAATATAAACATGTTTATTTCATCCAATTGATACATAGTTCGAATCGCAAAAACATTCATTTCTATCGTAAAAGAATTAAAAGACGAGACATCATTACTTTAACGGCGGAGTTTACATTTTTTTTACCATGTGACTGAAAGATTTTAAGTAACTAAAGAAGGGCATTACAAGGTTCATATCTTATAAAAGTTTTTTTTATTTTGAAGAATTAAAAAAGAAAAATAAGTGTACAACTAGTACTGATCACTCAGGGAGGGATCGAGTCCTTCAACGGGTTGAGTGTGGGGTCGAGGGGGATAAAATTTAAATAAGAAAGCAAATATATATAAAAAGTATCCCGTATATTCGGCGGTAGCAAGTAAATAAGCAAGTTTATTTAGTTCGATCAACTTAGTTATTTTTACTTTAAAATTATATTTGTACTAAAAAATTCATTAAATATATAAATATAATTCAGTAACTAAGACGAGCTATGATTTCTTTTGCAAATTCATAACCCATAAACTTTAGTAGATTACTTATTACTTCCATCATATTAACAATTGTAATTATAAGTATTTACTTGATTACTTTATACTTACATGACTTAATTGGTATAAATATTCCTTATGCTATCGCATTGTTTTCTATTCACTTGCTAGTTATACTTGAATTATATGGTAATACAAAACATATTTATACGATAAATTAATAATAAAAGGATTCTTATACCATATATAAAATCAGATATTTTAGTATGATTTATTTCCATATACGACCAACTAAACATTATATTATCTAAGTACGATATTATTTTGAGATTAATCACTCCAAAAGGACCCTTTAATACGAAGAGTCCAAAGTCAACAAATTAAAAGGGAGAAAATAAAAATATCTTTTAGCAAAAGACAACTCGACACAAATAAGGAAGACAAAAGACAGGAGGGGTAGAGTTGGAAGAGGCGGTAAGGGAGTGAGAAGAAAAACAGTTCAAAAAACAAATATTAATATTGATAAATCGGGCAAACAAATATTTTATACGTAAATATTACTACAATATTTAGATATAATATGTTCAAACAATTAAGAAAATATTTTTTATGATTAATATTTGAATTGAGTGCAGTTTGTTTAAGTTTGAAAGCATAACTTAATTTTTAAAAATGCGGTTCAATTTAGAAAATAGAATGATAAATATTATTTGAATTTGAGAAGAGAATTTTTTTTAAATTTTTATCTGTATTATATTAGAATGAGAGTGTTAAAAATATATATTAAATTCAAACATTGTAATAATATTAGGTATTGAATAATATAATATCAAAAATAAAGAATAAATTGAGGAAAAATAAAATTTCAGATTTTTTATCATAGAAAAAAAGGGTAAAACTTATTTAAATTTGATATGAGAAAGTTTTTTATATTATGATAAGAAAAGTCATAATATGGATAAGTCCACGTAACTCAAGTCTAATAGATAAAATCAAAAAACTAAAAATATAAAATAATAAAAATAAATTAGAGATAATGTGAGGATATTTATAAATCATAAGTTTAGAAAATAAAATAAAGAAAATATACAATACTTAAAAATATTATTAAAATATAAATAATTTAAATTTTCGATCAATATTTTTAAAACGAAATAAATATTATTTTATGATTAAAAAATTAAATATTTATCTATATTATGTTAAAGAATAGTAGTTGATAATGATATTAAATAACGTTACAAGTTAATGAAAAGCCAAGACTATATATTAGATTAAAAAATAGCAAAATTATGTTAAATTATTAAAAATTTACTATTAGAAATGAAAGGGAAAGTCTATTTGAATTTGAGATTAGAAAGTTCTTAAAACTATGATGATAATGCTCAAACAATGGATAATATCACAAAATTGAAGTCTTATTAATGAAAATAATAAAAAGAATAAAATTTTAAAAATACAAAATAAATTTCTAATATAGGTAATTTTACTAATAAAAATTAAAAATTAAATTTGTATCTTAAAACTAAAAAAGAAAGAAAATTTATGTAAAGAAATAAAATGACAGTGAAAATATTTCTACAACATTTAAATATAATGCATTCAAACAATTAAAAAAATATTTTTCTATGATTAATATCTGAATTGAGTACAATTAGTTTAAGTTTGCAAGTATAGCATAATATTTTTGAAAATACGGTCCAATTTGGAAAATAGAATGATAAGAATTATTTGAATTTGAGATGATATTTTTTTTATTTCATAATTTTTTTATTTTTAAAAATATTACGTAAAGAAATAAAATGATAGTAAAAATATTACTACAATTTTTAGATATAATGTGTTCAAACATTTAAGAAAATATTTTTCTATGACTAAAATAAATTTTTTAAGAATATATAATAAATTTCTAATATAGGTAATTTACTAATGAAAATTAAAAATTAAATTTGTATCTTAAAGCTAAAAAGGAAAGAAAAGTTAACTGCATCTAATACAAAAATAATTATAAGAGAACTCAATACATTTGGAACATAATAATCAAATAACTTATGTATTAATATTTTAGACCAATTCAAAGTTCAATTTAAAATAAAATATAATATTATTTTGATTATAGATAAAATATTAATATAAAAACTAATTAAAATTTATAGTAGGGAAGAAAATGTATAAAAAATAGAGATAGTGGGGATACTTATACTTTAAATTAATTTAAAAATAAATAAATTAAATAATTAAATTATATTTAAAAATATTACTGATAAATTTAAATGATTAAAAAAATTCGAATAAAAGGATACAAGCATAAAAATATACCAAATTTCAAGAATAAAACATTTATATTTATTAAAGACTATTAAAAGGATATTAAGTAAGATATTAATTTAATTATTAAACTAACAAAATATTATATGATAGTATAATAATATTAAATAATAAATAATACAATAACTATAAAGAACAAAAAGAAAAAAGAAGTTGCGTAAAAATAATGTGATGAATAAGACATATTTGACTTTCAAATAAAAACAAAGTGATAGTAAGAATTTTGTTAAAATAATATGATCTAATGTGCTCAAACAAGACAGATCACAACATGACATGTTTAGTATTCTTTAATATTGACAGCGAAACGAAATGCAAGTACTAAAATCAAGGGGTAGGTTGCTGCATATATATAAAAACTAGGTTGTCCACTACGAGATTTGAACAATAATTTCATATCCTGCTTAATAATTGATATCTAATGTTATATAATTTTTATCTGAGAGGTTTATATTTTAAGGTTATTTGCATATGATTCAAACAACCTACATCATAATTTAACATGATTTGTGTCCGCGTATCGCGCGGGTACTAATACTAGTATACATAAAAAATATCCCGTATATTCAGCTGTAGCAAGTAAATAAGCAAGTTTATTCAGTTCGATCAACTTAGTTACTTTTACTTTAAAATTATATTTGTACTAGAAAATTCATTAAATATATAAATATAATTCAGTAACTAAGACGAACTATGATTTCTTTTGCAAATTTATAACCCATAAACTTTAATAGATTACTTACTACTTCCATCATATTAACAATTGTAATTATAAGTATTTACTTGATTACTTTATACTTACATGACTTAATCTTGGTATAAATATTCCTTACGCTATCGCATTATTTTCTATTCACTTGCTAGTTATACTTGAATTATATGGTAATACAAAACATATTTATACGATAAATTAATAATAAAAGGATTCTTATACCATATATAAAATCAGATATGTATTTCCATATACGATCAACTAAACATTATATTATCTAAGTACGATATTATTTTGGGATTAATCACTCCAAAAGGACCCTTTAATACGAAGAGTCTAAAGTCAACAAATTAAAAGGGAGAAAATAAAAATAATTTTTAGCAAACGACAACTCGACACAAATAAGGAAGACAAAAGACAGGAGGGGTGGAGTTGGAGGAGGGGGTAAGGGGGAGAGAAGAAAAACAGTTCAAAAAACTCCCGGCCGATTAACCAAAAGTCTCCTCTCTGTATATATACTTTTTCAACGGATACCACAGAGAGGAAAAACTTTCTCTGCAAAACGGAGAAGAAAATTCTTTACGTTTTCCTCAAACTTTAATTTTAATTTAATCAATTCTCATAACGGATACCCCATCCGACCCGGAACACCGAGACTCAACATCTTCACTCACCGGCGTTCTCTTCGCCGCCGGCGAGATATGGCCGTTGCGCCGCAGCCGTATCGCGTGGATTTATCTAGAATTTTATTTCGTCTTCGATCTATTATTTCTCGAAGCCCTACCTGAAGAGGAAAAACATTCTCGAATCTCGAACATTCTAGAATATTATTTGACTAATTGGAATTACGATAATGGCCTCAGGAGGGAAAGGAATGTTGGAGAAGGGGAAGAGATGTTTGAAAATTGTATATTTCATGGTGGCGATGTTAGCGTCGCTGTTGGTACTATCGGCGCCACTGCTTGTGGCAATAGGGGATGTATTGGTACCAAGTGTGTTGATTTCGAGCTTCACGTGCATGAAATGTTACAGTTTCAAAGAGCATTTGCGTAGATATGCTTTCAAAAGCTCCTTGACGGACATTCCTCTCGTTTCTGTCATGAGATCTCTTATCATCACCTGTATGTCATTATTTTTTCTGTTTTCTTTTCCATGTTCAACAATATATTCTACTTATTTGTGGTTATCTGATTAAATATTGATATTGAGGATTGTATAGTGGATTCTAATTAGTTTGTGTTCGTGTTGCTGTGTTGTTCTGATTAATGCATACTTCATGTAATTCAAACTGTTGGTTTTAGATTAAAGCTTGCGTTCAATCTGCATCTGCTTTTATGTTCAACTTGCTTATGTTTTTGTGTGACCTCGACTATTCCACCGGTACCTGCAACCTCCCACTAACACAGGTACTAGGTAACTCCGCTTACCAAGGCTTAGGTGGGTATTTGTGGATGGATATTACTTGGAGCTTGATGTTGGAGTTTGGCTTTGCATCGTGTGGTTCCCTGATGTAACATCTTAAATTTGGTGCTGAGTATCTAAACCCTTTTCACGATGCCTCTTTGGATGATTTCTTTTTTCCTTTTGATATGGTAAACCTCAGCAACACCCTCCTGCGAACCGACTTCCCTACCTAGGAGTCCAACAGTGGCCTTTCCTGTTTTGATCCAAGGTGACTCGTGGTTGAGGGTCCTTACCACTAGGCTATCTCCCCATTGTCATGTGTTCGGATGACTGAGTTATATTAGTTTCACCTTGGCTTGAGCTTGTTCTTCTGAGGTTTAATGATTTGTCAAGGTTTAGCCTTTTAACTAAAATGGCTAGATGGGGTGATCTGAATTTAAAGTCTTTTGACAACTTTTTTGTGCGTCTATTATCTGGCTACTGTTTGCTACAAGACTAATCCATGTTAGTCTCTGGTGATAGGTGTTTATTCTTTGTGCGACGGCCCTGCACTTTCACATGGACCATACCTTGCAACGGTTACATTCTGTTCCATCATTTCCGTGATTCTTCTTTCTATCAAGGCTTGTGTTTTCTCTGTCAATTCATACCTGGAGATTGAAGCTTCATCTTCTATCTCGAGGCAAAAGCTTCATTTGAAAAAGTCATGGGGGATGCCCGTGTTGTTTCTTTCTTCGGTAGTCTTTGCTCTTGGACATACTGTAATTGCCTACAGAACAAGCTGTCGTGCAAGGAGGAAGCTTTTGTTTCACCGAGTTGACCCAGAAGCTGTAAGCTAATATATGTCCTCTGTTTAGTATCTTTTGCTCTTCTTGGATGTGTTTCCCTCATTTATACTGTGGCCCGATTGGAAAACAATTTTGTAATTTTCATAAAGTGAGCATGCTCTTTTCCTGACTAAGTTATGAGTAATGGTTATATATCGATTTACAATTTAAGTGCATATTATTTTCCTAGGAAATTTGGATCTTAGATATTATTTATGTAGTTTGTTTTCTTGATTTATTTATAACCTTTTCGCAAGAAGATACAGTTTACGGGAACCTATAAGTTTTTGACAATTGGTTTCCTCTATAATTACAGGTCCTTCCTTGCAAAGTTGTTTTCTCTGCATACAGTAAGGTACCACGATCTCCAATTCCTGCGAATAAAACTAGAACTGAGAGTGAAATGAGGAGAAAACTTGCAGGATCAGCTCATGAGGAGGGGGAAATCCCTGCTATATTGCTTGCTGATGTTGACAGTTCATTCATTTCTTGTCTTGGGCTCTCTCTTCATTACAAACTTTGCTTGCCTGGCTCACCTTACCGTTTATCCTCCACAACTTCTTCTGCTAGTCCGTTGCATGTTTTGTCAAAAAGTGATTATCGTATTAGGAGGAGCTACAGTAGTCAATTTCATACCAACTCTCTCTATGTACCTCTTTTAGATGTGTCTCCAACTTCCCCAGTCCTGTCTGGAGAAATCCCTAGTTTCAGCCTAGATGAAACTGGTGATGAAGATGAAATTGGTAAGTTGGGGTCTTCACCCCCAATACGAGATGTAGAAGGAAATAATCAGTTTGGAATTGTTCTAGTTCACGGTTTTGGAGGTGGGGTTTTCTCTTGGAGAAATGTGATGGGTGAGCTAGCTCAACAGGTAGGTTGTGCAGTCACTGCCTTTGACAGGCCAGGATGGGGATTGACATCTAGGCCACGTCAGAGAGACTGGGAGGAAAATCAATTGCCTAATCCGTACAGGATCGATAGTCAGGTATTCTCATGCTTTTGATTGTATGTTCTAATGAAGCTTCTTGTCAAATTTAGCATGAAAACCACAAAACAGAGATGAAAGCAAGAATGTTAAGTAGCAAGAGCCAGAAAGTGAGAAATTTTCTGGGTTTCTTGATNCTAGTTCACGGTTTTGGAGGTGGGGTTTTCTCTTGGAGAAATGTGATGGGTGAGCTAGCTCAACAGGTAGGTTGTGCAGTCACTGCCTTTGACAGGCCAGGATGGGGATTGACATCTAGGCCACGTCAGAGAGACTGGGAGGAAAATCAATTGCCTAATCCGTACAGGATCGATAGTCAGGTATTCTCATGCTTTTGATTGTATGTTCTAATGAAGCTTCTTGTCAAATTTAGCATGAAAACCACACAACAGAAATGAGAGCAAGAATGTTAAGTAGCAAGAGCCAGAAAGTGAGAAAATTTTCTGGGTTTCTTGATTTGGGAGATTGTTACTTTTCATTAATTTAGGCCTTCTATTGAACTGTCCTGATTTTTACTTTTCAGGTTGACCTGCTCCTCTCTTTCTGTTCGGATATGGGTTTTACTTCAGTTATACTTGTTGGTCATGACGATGGTGGATTGCTTGCTCTGAAGGCTGCACAAAGAGTTCAGTCATCCGCAAATTCGATTAATGTGAGTTGAGTTCTTTTTTTATATGTGAATTAATGTGAGTGACTTGCGATCGTGCTTTCTTCTTGGCATGTACCTTTATGTACATTACTGTTATCAGAACCGCATGAACTGAAAACTTTATGAAGCCATATTCAATAATAAGAAAATGTCAGCCCCGATTTTTTCTCGAGCAATTTCAGTTCCCGTAGTGAGTTGCACACCTATATATTGTGCTATTCTATTAGACAAAGCACTCTAGAATCAGTTTTAAATTCAAATTGCTGGTAAATGATGTTCACCTCCTTTGCGTGTTGTTCCTGAGTGATATTTATCTTCTTGATTATTTTTTGCCTTCTAGGTCCATATCAAGGGGATTGTATTAATGGGTGTCAGCCTGTCAAGAGAACTGGTTCCAGCCTTTGCAAGGATATTACTGCGTACGTCTCTTGGAAAAAAGCACTTGGTGCGTCCACTATTGCGAACAGAAATTACTCAAGTTGTTAATAGACGTGCATGGTATGATGCCACCAAGTTGACAACGGAAGTTTTGGGCCTATACAAGGTATATAATGTGTTCTAGGTGTTGGTTTATTGATACTGGATTATAACTGCTCTTTCTGGAATAAAAATGACACTGTCGGGAATGGTTTTAATGCGCTCCATTTAGATTCTCCCCAGTTGGACAGTTTGAATTTCAAACTTGTGAACTGGACAGGATTCTTTTCTGTGCTACTGTTTTGGATAGATGAATTTTTATTGGGCAAAATAATTGACAAGAAGAAAGAGAAGACATTGAAAGGCGGGGAGACTCACTACTTGGTAGAGTCCGTAAAGCGTCTATGCTTTCTTAACTGGATTCTGTAATATATGTACCTAGAGTTGGAACACCATCAATTTATCTTTAGTTGAAACATTTGTAGCTGGATCAATATCCAGGATAAATTTGTCTCCTCTTGTTTTCTTACTTTGAATACTCAATGTCAAGTCCGTCGGTACATTTTCACTCTAGATATTATTAGATTATGATATGATCATGATATCATCCTTTTTGCTTGTATGTGTAATCAGGCACCATTATGCGTTGAAGGATGGGATGAAGCACTCCATGAGATAGGAAAACATTCATCTGAAACAGTCCTCTCACCAGAAAATGCGGCGCAACTGCTAAAAACAGTTGAAAGTTTACCACTTCTGGTGATTGGAGGTGCTGAAGATTCACTTGTACCTATAAAATCTGTTCAAATAATGGCATCAAAACTTGTAAATTCTGTGAGTTCTCCCTCTCTCATGATGCTTGATCTCTGTAGTACTAGTCTAGTTTATATCATCGTTGGTATAGAGGTAGGGAATGCCTAGTTGTTCTTAGATTTTATGTTTTGTGTTTTATGAATTTACAGGTGTTTCCTTCTCGATTTAAAAACATATGTTTTCCTTTACCTCATACTACCCGTTTTATGCAACATATTGTTTCTGATGGGAAACCTGTTGAATTAATTTCAAAAGCTGAAATCTTTTCCTCTAGGCATTTTTGGTTTAAAATTTACTCAATTTGATAACATTTTGTACTGTAATTGATAAAATTTACTCACTGGGCATGTTGTTGTTGTTGTTGATGACATTTTGAACTGTGTGGGCTGAAAACTGAACTATTAAAATGTTATTTTAGTATATCATTCTTGGTGATAAAAAGCTTGTTTAGTTCTCTGTGGTAATTGAATAGTGATTTTCTTATCTTTGTTGTATTGGTTTCCATTATAGAAGCCCAATTCTTTTGGATAGATCAGTAAGTTATTATCTCCATCCTAATTAATTAGTAATTGTTTTTTAATAACAAAAAAAGAGCTTAATATCAAAAGCTTTCATTAGTATGAGAATCTTGCCTCTTGTCCTTATGATGGGATTCCGGAGTTGATTCTTAAATATGAAAATTAGGAAAATCTCTGGGAAACAATATTATAACACTATGTAGAAGGAAGTAAAAGAATCATGGATTGAGTTTTTGACTCTAAGCAATAAAAATTGTTGCTTTAAAGCCATAGTACAACTATTGATGCACAGAGCAATAAATTAGACTAGTTAACAACTTTTGTGAATGTTTATCTCTTAAAGATGGTTTCTGAGATTCCATTTTGTTAAAGTAAAAGAACTTTTTGGTTCTAATGTCAAAATAAAAGGTGGAAGACACATATTGACATACTACGGAAAAAATGTTTTGAAAATCTAAAGGTTTTGGACGGTTCAGCTGCCATAGCACAAGAAGACACAGATGAGTTTTAAAAGGATTGTATTTGAAACATCCTTCATATAAAGAATGTACATTTACTAGGTCTCCACATGGAATCCCTACTGGTCATCTCAGGCAAATAAAAGAAAAGGAAACTACTTTTCAGATTTTCTGTACACAAATGGCACACTGTTCGGAAAGTGAAAAAGAATCATTTGTATTCTAGCTTTATTACTTGTCGCGTTATGTCTCAAATGCATATGTTTAACATTGCAGTTTTGCCACGTGTATACTTGCGTTACTACTTTAAGTTTAATGTTTTGGTGCATGTTACAACGAAGTATTCAAACTTACAACCTTTGGAATAGAAACTAAATTGATTCTGCTCAACCCCTTTTTCCCTATTTTGGAGTCAGAAAGAATTTTTAATTGAAAGTGCAAGTTCTGGAAAAATACATATTTTATGCTGTTCATGTGCATTAACTGCAAAATTTGAAGCTTATTTCTGCAAATCTGACAACGATCTCAACTTACAGAGACTGGTCGCCATATCTGGCTGTGGACATCTTCCACATGAGGAATGTCCCAAAGCATTGCTAGCAGCCATGTCGCCATTCATCAATAGAATTTTAGTGGAACCACAACTGCAACATTAATAGGGTGCTCTATGTCAAGTTGCAAGTATTTATTCAACTGAGCTTTTTCCCAATTTTACATATATCTTTTGTAAGTTTTCTTTTCTAAATTTACTCAAAAGGTAGAGTCCAAGTCCATCTCTCCTTTTGGTAGCTTTGATTGTGAATTTGCAGCTTGAGTGTTAGAGCAGTTTCAATTGTATCTTTTTTCCTCCCTCCTTTCTTCTTATTTTTGTTTTGCAGATTCTTATGCCCGGTTTTGGTTTCTGTTGTTCACCACATAAAGAGTTGAGATAACATCTGTGTACAATTATTTTTTTCATCGGAACAGTGTAGCAGATTTCCTGCTACAATCTCTCTCTCTCTCTCTCTCTCTCTCTCTCTCTCTCTCTCTCGTGAAAACCCTGAGGAACTGAATGGGTTGACTATAAGAATGTCAATTCTTTTTTGTCTCACTTATTTCTGTTTGTACGGGCTTGTCTTGGATAATATGCACTGATATATTTAGTTGTAAACAATAAACTAATAGGGCGTTCTGCTATTTTGGTTAATCATATTGTAAACATCAACTCCATATGATTATGGCCTTTGCTTGATTTCTGAAGTTATCTTGAGAATATTTCATTTATAAGGTCCTTTTGAGTATAGGAGTTGAGGATTCTCAATTCATAGCAACTAACCTTCTACTGCGTTTTGACAATAGATAGGGAGAATGTTTATGAAACTTTGGTAATTAAATGACTGATTCTTAAATCACAAGGAGGTTAGTTTTACAAATCAAAACTTGGAGAGAGCTAGGTCTCTGAAATTATCCCTAAGAAAATTGCAACTTATAATATTTTTCACTATATTTCTGGATATATCTCAAATTTGATTTAAAAAGAAAAAAGATTTAGTTTAGTTTGATCGGACTCTTATAACTAGTGAAATTTACTCTCAATTAAGTGGGAAAGTGCTGAACAAATTGGGGATAGTAAATCTGCTCGTGTCACAGAACGCTTGTTTTAACTCGAAATTGGTATTGAAATCCAAATAATTTTCCACAATAGTTGAGTTTACCACCAAAATGCATAAATGTGTGAATTTCATTCAGCATTACTATTTGACTATTTGTTTTAGTCTACTTACTAAGACTAATCTAAGATGTGTGATCTGTTAGTCTGAACAATATCATGTGTTGTAGAGACCACCCGTAAACATGTTTCTGAGAATTTGAGTCTAATCTTTTTTTTTGAATTTTCCTTCCAATTACTTGGAGACGACTTATTAATTCAGAAATATAAATAATTAAGGACCCATTAATTAAGTAGTACGAGCGGCAAAATCCTCCTAGGTAGGTTTCTTTTTCTTTTACCTTTTTTTTTTTAATTTAAAAAATGTGCTGTACGTTTGAACTTGGAATGAATATACAAATTAGGACATCGCACTCGCCTTTTTTTCTTCTTTTGAAAAAGAAACCAATCTTTTTATTAAAGAAATTCAAAGGAGTGCGCAAGTCCTAACAAAATTCATATACTCCTGAGAATTGGAAGAAAGTATGAAACTCATTTCTTCTAACTTTCTATGGGTCTGGAAAATATAAAAAGAAAATAAAGAACAGATGGTTGAGATTTGAGCTCCCCAATTAACGAAATGAAGGAACACATACTATGCTGAACCAAAAAGGTTACTATTTCATTTGATTATTCGAAATTTATAGGTACATGTAAAATGCGACAAAGTAACAATTAATACATAATTTCAACTCTCTTGCTTCTGTAAGAGAAGCAAAAGTAACACATCAACTATTGTATTACAACGAATAACATCTCAATGTTCCGTCATATGCATAAAACTTAAACTTAATCAATAATTATCAAGCTCAATTAATTAAAAAACCTATGGATGACGGGGATTGCGAACTCCAACCAATCTCACATCATCAACCACAGGACCACACAAAGAGCCAGAGTTGTCACTCTTCATATGATAATATGTGCTCAAAAACCTCACTCTCGTACGTGGAGAAATTGCTGTGAACCTAAGCCTAGCCCTTTTAAATCCACCTTTGCCTTTGGATTCATAAGGGAATTGCATAGTAATTTTCCCAGCAAATGCCTCTACAAGCATAGATCCTTCACAAGAATTACTAGCATCTCCAATTGAGAAAATAAGATCATATACTTTTCCAGGTCTAGTCCTCACTACTTGTGCTATGGCACTCTCTCTTCCGGCCACGAGCTCGACGGCGCGCTTGCCCTCGGGCACGGTAAAGTGTTCAGCGTCAATGTATTTTACTGCTTTAAGAGATTCAATCATCCATCCGAGCAATGGAGAATGATCATCTTCAATGTTGGGTGGAATTAGAACACCCCATGTTGTGTTAGGGAAGATATATGGACCCTCCTCAAAGTTTCCATTTTTCAACATGTTGCCTGTATCCATTTGTATATCATCAATATGTTAGTAATATGGCATATCACAGTACAATAACAACAAACCCAATATAATTTCATAAGTGGGGTCTCGAGAGAATAGTGTGTATGCAGACTTTATCCCTACCCTTGTGAAGATAAGATTGTTTCCGATATCGTAGTGAAAGTATAACTTCCATTTTCTATTTTTAGAATTAAGACTATTAGATATCATCATACTAATAGTAAATATAAACATATATATTGTCACGTCACGTACTCCTTGAATTTTTAAATTATATAACACTGAAAGAGTAAAAGAAGTTTACATTATCAATGTAATTTAACTGAATATAGCAATTAATTAGTAGGTTATTATTATGTTTTCTGGATTACTATACCAGACTTGTTGGGCAAAGTTATTGTTTGATATTTTAGGTCAACTTAATGTAAATTATAGATCTATACATAATCAATACACAACTTAAATCAGAGTAAACTAGTGATTTGCGAAGGATATAATTTATCTTACCTCCACTGATAGTGCGAATGAATTTTTACACAGTCAGTGTGCAATTTAACATATGTAGAAAATTATTTCTTTCTTTTTCTGGTTACTAACTCCACTCATGAATCACGATTATCAATATTACCTTTAAAGTGACTTAATGGAGCAAAAAAGATTGTCATATAAATAACTTGTTATAACCGTATACTAATAGGGTAAACAACTATAGATATGATTTTAATCCTTATTTCACGGGACAACCAAGCAGAGTCGAATCCAAAATTTTAGCTACATGGGTTCAACATATACGGAATTTAGCATTAAATTTTTTTTTTTTTTTTAAAGTGATGTGTTCATATCTACTATTTATTACAAATTCAATAAATTTTTACATAAATTTATACTGCATATATAAAAAGCACTGGATTCAAATGAAGTCGCTGTCCGAAAGCTTCATCCACCCCTGCAGCAAGTTCAAGCCAGAATAAGAGCTAACTAATTGTAGCCTACTTACCTTTTGGTCTTTTGGGTGTTTTCAAAGCCTTAAGAGCAACGAAATCAATGAGTGGGCCACAAGCTGGATCTTTCTCCACTACTGGATTATGAATCACAACATCAATTTCATTGGCCTCAGCCAAGAAACCCCAAGAATACGAATCCCAACCATCAGAACTATACATAGTTTGCATAGGCAGCATTCCCCAATCATTGGGCTCAGAATTAGGCGATACAGAAACGTTGAGTTTCTCTTCTTGAGCACAAGTCCTAGCAAATACAAAAGAAAGGGAATAGAAAACTCCTTTTGTAACTTTTACTTTGGTCTTAATTGAAGCATCTTCCCCTAGCCTAACGGCGTAATCTCCTACCGGCACTGGAAGTAACATGTCACCTTGTGTTTGGCCTGATTTAATATACTCTACGTAACCTGATATTTCCCAGTCAGGAATTGCGTGACGGTCTACCACTTTTGTGCCTTTCATTTGGGATGCTTTTGGACCTAGTTCGAAGTTGCCGTTTGGTAATATTCCTGATCAAATAAACAAGAAAATGAATTATTGTTTACATATATAATGTTAGTCATACTCGCGTTCACGTAAGGTCCGGAAAAGGGCTGCACCCAAGCGGTGTGATGATGTAGACAACCTACCCTAATACAAGCATTAATGGTTGCTTACATGGCTCGAACCCATGATCTATAGGTCACAGGGAGACAACTAAGAATTAAATTAGATACATTGACCGTAATTTCTTATACGATTAGCGACTTTTAGCTTGTGACAGACTTGATCGTGTAAGAAAATTTATACCAGTGTACGTCAAACTAGAGTACTTATTCTCAAAAAGCCTTTAATCTAACTACTAGTGTAGATCTTGCATCAACTCGAGGGATCTAAGTTTACATGGATTTAGCAAAATAATATTTAAGTGAGGAAAAAGAGCATGTTCTGTTGGTGTAACCATCATATTCTCTTTAGTTAAAATCACATGAAAAAAGTAAGTGTAGAATGTGTATGTTTCTCTCTCCTTCCCTTATTCATATTTAAAGGTCGTTGTTCATGGTTTGGTTTCATGCGATTTTTAATTAAACAAAAAATCAAATCAACTAAATCGATTTTCCTGATTTCCTACTGCTCATATTACCATTACTCTAGTAAACTAAGACATATATAGTTTGTGGTTCTATTTATTTATATAATTTTTCCTTTTTCTTATCACGATAAGTATGCTCAGATCAAATTTTACCAAATGCTACAGCATGCATGACGAACACAAATTTCAGAAAATGATTTTCTTAATATAAACCATAAGAAGTTTTAATATAAATGCGCATTAAATGAAATATAGAGCACTGATCATAATGATCAGAATTGAAAATTCTCTTGATTGATACATGTACATACCGTAACGGATACTAAAAAAATAAAAACTTACCATCCTTTTGAGATGAACCGATATGTGTGGTGGCACAGAGCAGCACAAAAAATATGGCTGTTTTCTTCATTTTGCAAAGATAGTCAGACTCAAAAGAGAAAGAGAGAGTGAGTGAGGATTTACAAATGATCAACAGGCTTTTATGAATTTCTGCTCGTCAAATTGCCCCTAGGAAACAAGGAAATTGCAGTAACTGCCACTATTTCTCTTTCCTAGTTCATAGTTGATACAGCAAGGAAGCAAAGTGCACGTGCAATCCTCGTGCTGAGGGACAAAGATTTGGAATAAACCTAATTAAATACTAATATGCCTGCGAAATTAATTAGTTCTAGTATCCTCTCCTATATACTTAAATAAGCCTAAGCTACTACATATAGTACTCTCGTGGTCATAATGGGTTCAAGATTTGAAGGCATGGGTGCACTCTTAATGCATGTACATATTTTAAAATTATCTGTGTGTTAGATAATTTTGTGTACGGGTAAAATCGGGAATAAAAGTTATTCCCGATTTTTCGGTAAAGAAACAAGAG